TCTCAGGGCGGAGGGGGGTTGGGGAGCTGCCGCAGGGCTCGGGGAGGGGGTGGAGCAGAGGTGAGCTGGGGTGGGGAGCTGCCGCACGGTTCCCCGGGCCGGGAGCTGCCGCGAGGGGGAGGGGGCAACTCAGGGTGGAGGGGAGGGTTGGTAGCTGCCGCAGGGAGGGCGCCTCAGGAGTGGTGGTGGGGGGGAAGCTGCCGCGGTGGGGGGGCCCTCAGGGTGGGGAGCTGCCGCAGGGCTTGGGGAGGGCGCAAGGTGCAAGTTTCGCCTAGGGCATGAAACATCCTTGCACTGGCCCTGGGTGTGTGAGCAGAAAGTTGGCAAACCTAGGGGGTGTTCATACTATGCTTGGTATGGGGTACTGTGGTACCACCCTTCTGGAATGTGTTTGTGTGAGTGTCCTGTGCCTAGCACTTCTCAGGAATGTGTGTGTTTCTGCAATATCAGCCCTGTTCTTGCCAGATTCTGTAAACTTAGAAGCAGGTGTGTTTTATAGCAGGGCCTGCCTTCTGCTCACAGCCTGACTTTCGCTAACTTTGCTTTAGATCAGCAAAGCTTGCCCACTACTTTAGTTCAGGCCTCAAACCAGGCCTCTGATACAAGGTGTGTCTCAGACTCTCTCTTTCCACTACAGCCCGTATGTTGACACACAACAGATTCACTGGCCGCAAATGTGTGTGTGAGAGAGGGTTGACAGAAGGCAGCAGGCCACATGTGCTCCTCTCCCTTACTCTGTACTAGGGCTGTGGAGTAACTGCTTACCTGCTACTGCAGCTTGGCACTTGTGGTTTCTAATCCTCAGCCCCTCATACATTCCATAGAGTCATAGATGTAAGGGCCAGAAGGGACTTTTATGATCATCTAATCTGACATTCTGTCTGACACAGGCCAGAGAATTTCACCCAGTGATTCCCGCATCCAGCCCAGTAACTTATGGGTGAGAGAGAGCAATTTTTTTTTTTTTTTTTTTTTTTAGGTAAGAGACTTACAATTCTGATTTAAGGACTACAGGAAATGGAGAATCCACCATGTCCCTTGTTCCAGTGATTAAGTACACACACTGTGAAAAATTTGCACCATATTTGGTCTGTCTTCAACTTCCTGCCACTGGAATTGTTATTTCCTGGAGCTCACAGCCAGTTTAGTTGGGCTGCTCTCTCTGTTCAATGATACAGTCTATCATTTTATTCTTGATCTGAAATATGCTGTTCACGTTGAAATAGGCTTCCAGCTTTAGGTCTTAGGCAATAGTGAAACACTTCTCATAACCAGAGCTCAGCAGTGACACAGTGAAAGGCTCCTGCATTTCTGCATAATCTCTGTAGAAGGGACAACGATCCACTTTTCTCTTCTCCTGAAGGATTAAACGCTTGCCTTCCAGGCTGAAGAGATCCATATAGCTTGTGTAGGGTTCACATGTGTCATTCCATTCCCCTCCAGGTCTGGGCTCTACTCCTCGCATCTCTATTGACAGCTACCAGAGCAGAGGGATCCACATGGTGTGTGAATCTGCTGGATGGTACCCGAAGCCCCAGGTGCAGTGGAGAGACCTGAAGGGGCAGCACTTACCATCCCTGACAGAAAAAATAATTCAACATGATACTGGCCTGTTTGAAGCACAAATTTCCATTATTGTAACAGAAACTTCCAGTCAGGATCTGTCCTGCTCTGTCAGCAACTCCCACCTCAACCAAGGGAAAGAATCCATGGTCTACATCGCAGGTTGGTGTCCATGAAAGCCACACAGTTCAGCAACTCAGAAAAAATGTGATATGTTTAATTTAATTTAAGTATTGGATTTACAACGTGCATGTGCATAGAGCTGCTCTGAGGCTATTCATTAAACACAGCGTGTGTTGAATTTAGGGAAGGTTAGACTTTATGAACCTGCCTTCCAAACTGCAGATGGAGTATAATGAAACATGACTAATTTTGGTGGGGAGTGTTCAATAGTGTGTTTTATTGCTAACAGTTGCGAACACTGTTAACATGCCTGGAGTTGAATTGGCATTCACAATGGAAAGGGAGTCTTGAAAAAATTCCGTAGTGTAGAAAAGGCCTCTTTGTGCAGCCAGAATGGGCTCTCCAAACTGGAGCTGGGAAGGAAATAGTTTCCTGTCCCATGAAGTTTTTCAAATTTTCAAAAAATTTCCTTTTCCCCATGGGGAAAAAACTGACACGTTTCAAAAGTTTTCATTAAAACAAGAAAGAGAGACTCCCCACTTCACAATAGCCTGCTGGTCAGGACTCTTACCTGAGTTTGGGGGTCAAATCCCTGCCCCAAATCAGGCAGAGCAGGAATTTGACTCTGGATATCCCCTGTGAGTGTCCTAGCCACTGGGCTACTGGCTATTCAGGGGTTTTGCTCCTCTGGTTTTGACTAGAAATCCCATCCTGGACCCAAGAACCTTTTCCTGTAAAATATTTGGTTATGATGAATTGACGTTTTCTGACAAAACAAAAGCAAAAAAATTTAGTTGAAAAATTCCTGATAATTTCTACTCCAACCAGTGGCTTATGATCACCACAAAAGTCCTACTAGTGATACATCTGTTCTATCAACGTTTTCAAGTTAATGAGGCTTTGTCTTGCAGATTCTTTCTTCCTGGGGGCCTGCCCCTGGAATGTGGCTGTGTACATACTCCTGGTTGCTTTGGGTTTGCTCATTTTCACGGCCAGCTTCTTCTTCTGGAAGCAACACAAGGCAAAAGGTAAAGTTATAAGGGGAGAGTACAATGTACTCAGAGATTTCCTTTAAAATATAAATTAGTCTAGAGTGGAGGTGACTTCTCCATAGTTAAAGATGCAGCTACATTTTTATTTGAAGCCATATTTTGCATCATCTCTAAATTTCCCAAGAAAAGTCAGATTACCATAAATTGACAAGGAGTCTGGTGGCACCTTAAAGACTAACAGGTTTATTTGGGCATAAGCTTTCGTGGGTAAAAACCCCACTTCTTCAGATTTTTTACTCACTAAAGCTTATGCCCAAATAAACCTGTTAGTCTTTAAGGTGCCACCAGACTCCTCATTCTTTTCGTGGATACAGACTAACACGGCTACCTCCTGATACTTGGTACCATAAATTGGAAGTTCTAGACAGGCCTTGGGTGTAATTTGTGAGAGAAATCTGAAGTCTTCCATTACTTTTTGGCCATATCTTGGGAAATAAATGAAGGGCCTAGGAGCCACATGAAACATATCACTTGATTCCCATTGCTAATTTCTAGTGTGGATGAAACCAAATGATAAAGCCAGTGTCGATAATTTACAATATGAAATGATTAGATCTTCACTTTAGAAATACAGAGTGCTAATAGAACACCTGCGCAGTGCAGCGAGAGAGACACTTTCCCGTCAAAATGCCCTTAGCCTAAAAAAGTTGCACTGGGCTTGGGAATAAGAGTTCTGGGCTCACATATGCCACTGATTGGTTTTATGCACTTCACAGCCCTGATCAGAGAGCACAGCCAGATATTCTACACTAGCAGGGTTAAAGCAGCAAATCTTTTAAGTGAAGACAAGCCCTTGATGTCTTGTACTAACTCACACAGAAGGTCTGTGGTAGACCCAGGAATTGGACTAAGGTCACTGAAGTCCCAGGCTATGGTTCTAACCCCTACCTCTCCGAGGCCTGTCTGCAAAGGTTGCCACCCCCTTTCTTAGCTCATCAAGCTTTAATGCAGAGGACCAATGATTAGCTAAATAGAGACCACTTTAAAAGTAACACCTGCAATTATTATTTTCATTTCCCTTCCTGCAGCCTGGTGTTATTAACTGTCACCACCCAAACCCTGCTCTGCATAGGGAGCTATTCATTTCTTCATGGGCTTTCCCATGATGCTCACCACTGCAGTGTCTGAGCCTCACAAATTGCCTGCTAGCTCTGGTAGTATTAGTCCTTTTCCTCTCCTGTAGCCTGTTTTTTCAAAGAATCTTTTATCCTGCACAAGGGTCAAGCAATGGTGCCTGATCCTATGGGGCTGCTGAGGGTCCCTTCCTGAACTGTCAGACAACATGCCATTCTCTCTCTGTCACTATTTTCCTTTCCAGCAATTCTGTGTTTTTCTGTACTCCCAAGTCCAGCGTGGATAGCCATTCTCAGGGGCTGACTCCCAGTCCGTCACAAGAGGCTGTTCTCCACAGGAGTATTGAAATGGGCTGTGACTGAAGTCTGGGTAACTGAGGAGATTTGGTGGTTTTCATGCTGTTGGGCCTAGCTCAGAACCAGTCCAATACAGCCAAGCTGATCTTTATTCCCCAAGTCAGTTGAGGAGGATGCACAAATAATTTACAGGGTTTGGGTTCCAATTTTGTTTTAAAAAGTTAAGATTCATAGTGAACAGGAGAACTTTAACCACAGGTGGGAGGAGCGCTACGACAGGCAAGTGCAGGCCCCTCTGATACGCAGAGCAATGGGAGTGGTTATATGGAAGCCTGTTGATACAGTTCATTACCAGCCAACCAGTGCTCTGTAGAATTTGCAGCATTTGTACTGGACTCTCCCCCTTTCTAACAAGTCTCTCCTCTTCTCTCATAGCAGCACATGTTGCAGAGAGAGTTAAGACTCTTCTATGGGAACTGCAGTGCGGGGGAATCTCAATCTTTGGAACAATTTGCTGGTGCCTCCCAGGCAGCTGTTAGGGGATCTGATGAATGAATGCTCAACATGGTGGTTATTACATGCAAAGCACTTCTTGCCCCCCTCCAACCCTACAGTGCCCCCCAGAGAGCCCCAAGGATTGCAGGAGTTTGCCCCACATGAACAGGCATAGGGTGTAAGCAAGTGTATGTTACAGTGACGCTTCATTCTGTCACTGAGTGGGATGTCAATGATGTGAAGGTGTTCTCACTTCCTACTAAGTTTATAACATAACCTTTATGTAGATGGTGGCCAGGGTAGAGTGGCTTGGGAATGGTCAGTCTTAAGGCTTTGTGTAAACTGGACTTTCGTCAGCAAAACTTTTGTCGTTCAAGGGTGTGAACCCCCCCCGCCCCCCCCAAACGACAAAAGTTTTGCCGACAAAACTACTGCCGCTCGTTTGGGGTAGAAGTTTTTTGTCGGCAGGAGAGCTCTCTCCTGATGACAAACAGTGGCTACACCGCACGCCTTTTAGTGACACGCCTGTAGCGGCACAGCTGTGTCACTATGTCACTAAAAGGTGCGTAGTGTAGACATAGCCTCAGAAGCAGAACTGTGAATTTTCAGCCTGACCTCTTAAGCTTGTGTTTTGGTAAATTTTGTCACTAGAACATTATTTTATGGTTTGTTTTAACCACAGCCTCAAGTTCTTAAAGTTAACAGTGTTTTCCATTTGGGATAATTATCTTTCCATTGACTTTTATGGGACAAAAGTAGGCCCTAAATCCAAACTCTTATGGGATTATTTATATGATATGCTATTTATAAATCTACAATATATTCTGTTTTTGTTTTTAGGGAAACTTGTTGCGGATCTTGGTAAGTGTCACAACCCTCTCCCTGTTATAAACTTGTTCCTTGTTCCACCAGGGGATGGAGCTTCCCTGATCCATGCACCCTCCTGACCCGACACTGCACCCCCTCTGTCCTTCAACTTTCTGATGGTCACCATTAGCTGACAGACTCTGCCTCTATACTCTTGCTCATGAGTCCCACCTTGGCCCATGACTCCTATCCACATTTACATGGCCACAACATTCATTTCCCACAGTCTCCCCAACATTGACTCTTGCCAACTCCATTCACACCTACTCTCCCTACACTTAAACAGAACAAGGACATTCCAACACAAAACCATTCATTTCCAGTTAAGCATTTATATATAAACTCCAAGGCTGAGATCAGAGCATTCTGGTACTAATACAGAATGAGGCCAGTGTCATGTTGAAGGATCACACTTAGTATCAGAGACAAGTATGCTTTAAAACCAATACCAAGAATTCAGTTCTCCACTCACGAACTTTACTCCAGTATTGACTTCTTCAAATTTAAAGCTAGGAGGGAAGAGAGAAATGCAATCGTGCCACTGTGTTAGAGTTCTGTTTGGGTGACTTAAAAAAGAAAACAACTGCAAACCATACTTCACATTTTTTAAAGTGTAACCTTAAGTTTTAATTTCCATGATTTTAAAAGTTTGAGAATTTAAAATAGTTTCTTGTCGGGGTTTTCTGGAAGAGGTTGGTGGCACATCTGCTCAGCCTGAACTCCAGAGTTTTGGGTGGTTATGTGCGCATTGTAATGTTCTTTGAAATGTGCCCAACAGAATGGTATGCAAGATACAAGGAAGGGCATATATGCATTTTTTGACAAATTGGTGAAAAACAAGCTGATAGGCTGAGGCTCTCATAATAATTGAAATAACAGATCAAAGTACATCTACTTACAAAGACATAAAGTAAAGCAAAAACTAAATCTAAGATATTCTAGATTCTGACTGATTGTATTGTGGCCTCCATGAAAAGGTCTATCTGTGTCACACTGTCAGTCAGTCTCTTGTAGCAAGGCACCTTCTCTACCTTGGCGGGCTCAGCACTTCCCCCTCTGACAGTGGGGGAGCCTGGAGTAAGTCATCCCCACTCTGGACAGTGTTCATTTTCCCACTTGGGGGTGTTATTTCCCAATCTTTTCCTGGGAGGTCTCAGGGCAGGCCTCAGCAGTGCTCCTTTGCGAAACAAATAAACAAGAAACTAATTCCAACACAAAAATGAAGGTGATAACTTTTCCTACCCCCCACTCTGAGGGCAGGTGGCCGCTGTTTTCCCCCACCTCTCCAATCCCTGCCCAGAAGGCTGTGGCCACAAGAAAAGACCCTAGTGGCCGCATTTGAGAAACACTGCTCTAGAGACTGTCCGATCTGAAATGGAGAGCGAAAGAGGTAAACATCTCAGCCATGGCAATGTGTTAGCAATTGCATTTAATGTCTTCATGAAGAGGGAAAATGAGAGTTTGTATCTTTATCTCTGGATCATGTGGTTAATGGGATGAGGGCTCATGGAAGATCCCTGCTATTGATGCAACAGCCTCATGATCCTGCCTAGGAGCTATAGCAGCAGACCCCACTGCCCTGCTGCAGCCACTGCAAACCCAGCTCTGTCAGCAGCAAGAACAGTTCATGGGCTGGCAGCAGGAGGTGCAACTGGCCCAGCAAGAAAGGACTCGCCAGCGAAGAGAAGGTCTCCTGCAACAGTTCACAGATCTGCCCAGGGTGGAAATTTGAAGACCACTGGGGAAGTGTCCTGGGTGTTGGAAGCCCAGCCTGTCCAACCTGGCCTGAGAGATGATATGGAGGATTTTCCAAAAACACCCAAGAAGGCTGCAAACCCCCCTGATTGGGAGGAGGGGGGCTGGATCAGCTTGGTAATGCTTTTCTCCATGGTTGAGGATCAAGCTCCCTATAAGGCTTTAAGTAAGAAAGAGGCCAAGTCATGCCCCTCTCTGACTCTGTCAGCAAAGGCACCATGAATGGTCTGAGCCAAACCCTTTCTTCATGGGGTTTGTCCACAGACAGTAGCCCGGTGATTCCTGGACAAAGCTATTCCCTGAGTTAAACCTTGAGTTTAGGACAATGAACAAGAGTATGAATGCATAGTCTTGCAACAGTTAGGGCTGGTCAAAAATTCCAATGGAACAGTTTTCCATCAAAAAATTCAGCTTCATCTGAATGTTTTGTGGGAACGTTGATTTTGATGAATTTTTTTATGGGAAAAAGTTGAAATGTCACATTTAAAAATGTCAAGATGTTTTGTTTTGGCATCATCATTTTGACTCATTTTGTTTTTACTTTAATATGGATATTTTAATATATTATAGTATTGTATTTCCATAATATATGTAGTATTATGTCTACAATCTATATTATATTTAATATTTTAATATAATATACATGTTTAAATTAAACATTTTAACACTATAGAAACAAAGCATATCTATACTTTTGAAACAAAATGTTTTGATGGACCCGAATTCAATGTTTTTTTTGAACGTTCATAGGAAATTTCAAAATGTGAGGGTGTTATTCTGAATCTGAGCATTTTTTTTCTGCAATGTTGGAACTTCCCACTGAACAGAAATTCCTGTTTTGATCAGCTCTAGGAACAAAATGTGAGGGTCTAGCCACCAGGGGCTCAGAACTGAAAACAGGTCTTCCAGCTGAGCTCAGTAAATGCAGTGCTGGAAAGAGACAGGAACCCAGCTGCACCTCTTGTACTGTGGCATCACTGACATTATATCTAGGGATTGAAAAACACTGTCACTCTTTGAAGTTCCACCCACAAACCAAGCTCCTCCCATTTGACCACTTGGGATGCTGTGACAAAGTGGGGATTTTCCCTTGTTATGTTGTATGTCAGTCTTACTGTTGAGCCTATGTGAGTTTTACTGTTTTGCATGAATACTGTGTGTGCCTCAGTTTCGCTGTGTGCTGCACCAATACCTCGGTGGTGGGAATAGGGGTGTGTGACTTTGGTTGAGACCTCTAGGGCAGGTGAGGCTGCTCCCAGCTGCTTGCACTGGTATGCTATGACCAGTGCCCTTCGTAATTTGAGACCCAGGAGGGGGATGAAACCAGGTGATGACCAGGTGACTCTTTGCTCAGGAAGCGAGACCAAGTCAAGGAGGAGGAGCAACAGGGGTGTCTGAGGTCAGGTCGCTCGAAGCTTGCAGTCTGCTTGGGGGGACTGGAAGAGGGGGAGTCCAGGGCTTCTGGCCCAGGACTCCCCAAGATGGACTTGGCTGAAAGTCACTGACTTCTGTGCTAACAAGTTCTGTTCTACGCTGTGTTCCTGTCGACTAATAAACCTTCCATTTTACGCTGGCTGAGAGTCACGGCTGACTGCGGAGTGGGGGTGCAGGGCCCTCTGGCTTCCCCAGGAGCCCCGCCCGGGTGGACTCGCTGTGTGAAGCACACGGTGTGGAAGGGGATGCTGAATGCTCCAAGGTCAGATCCAAGAAGGTTGAAGCTGTGTAAGCTTCTTGCCCTAGTGACAGTATGCTCAGAGAGAGGAGGCATGCTCCCCCAGAGTCCTGACTGGCTTCATATGGAGTAGTGCCAGACTCCGTGACAGATGCCAAAAGAAGATGTCACTCTCAGTAGATTGTGCTGTCAGGCGGATTCCAGTTCCAGAGAGCACATGTACCAATATGATCATGCACACTCTTCAGGGCTATAGTGGGAGCTGGTAGCAACATCCTTCTGTGTAAGTTGCCTAAGGCTTTCCATTATAAAAGATTGTTTCAAACTTTTTCAAATGTTTATAATTCAGCCGAACCTGAATGGAATATCATGAGACAAGTGAAAAGCACTTCTCTAGCCCCAGGGCTTTCTTCCAGCGAAATAGCAAAGTCTACTGCAAACAGTGGAAGTGTTAGACTTTCTCCAAAAGAAGATTCATGGATACTGTGCTTTGACTTCAGTTGGTGAATAAAGTTTTTGTTGCATGTTAGAGTCTCTCTGTAGGGGCATTCATAAATGTTGAGGACAGAAAATACCATTCTGAGCATCCATCCTGACCTACTGATTAACACAGGCCAGAGAACCTCATGCATGGACTGCTGCCTCAAGATCATATCTTCTGGTTGAGCTAGAGCAAATGTTTTAGACAGAGACGTGATCTTGAATTACGTGGATGGTTTCTTCTTGAATAGTCAGACAATAGACCAGACATTATCAGTCACAGCCTTAAAATTCCCTTCCTAATAATTCCATATTTTTCAATATTGCGAAATCCCGATCAGCTCTGATCTCACAGCAGACAGTCTCTAATCCACACAGCATTTTCATGCCACTACGAACATGAGTCACTGACTGTGAAGACTGGGTTGCTGTGCACGGCTTCAATGTTATTGACCATGTCCAAATATTTTATATCCTGGGGAACTGTAGACTATCTGTAGAGCTCAGCTTAGAAGGAAGCTAGTATATTTCAGATATTTATTTATCTTGCATCATGGCATTTTGTAAAGATGGGATTTGGGTTAAAAAACAAGACAAAACTGAGGCCCTTTTGGCTATATAGTAACTATAGGCAATGGGAGTAGATCTAAAGAAAGGTTACTGATAGAATTAATTGTTTAATAAAAAATGCAACATTTAAGAAACATTCTTCTCTATATTTCTTTCCTATTTTCTTTTAGAGAAACATCTTGCAGAGAAAGGTAAGGTTTCTTTGTTCATTTTAATGGGAGAAATCAAAGTTTGCAATAAGTTGCCTATATTATTATTATTTTATTATTTATTTTTTATTACTTATTATTTGTATTGTGGAAGCACCAAAGGGGTCACGGCCCTATTGTGCTAGGTGCTGTACAAACATATAACAAAGAGCTGGTCCGTGCCCCAAAGAGCTTACAATCCCAAATATAAGATGCAAGACAACAGGTGGATATAGACAGACTGACGGGGCTCATCATAATTGTGATAAGTACCAGTCACAGCTCCCCAGCTGTCAAGTGGTTCATAGGCTTTCTGGCAGAGGTGAGTTTTAAGAAGTCTTAAGGTAGCAGCCTCCTACTTCCCAGCTGGCTACTAAGAGATTTTCATATAGACCAGTTACAGTTGCATAAAGGCAAAACCCACCCACACAAGCCCTTAACAGTAAGCAAACAACAAGTGCAGAGAACTCTCTGAACACTGATGCATCATGGTACCCATTCTTTCTAGTAGCCCCCTCTAACGGACAGGGAAACACCCCTGTATGTGTGACAGTTCCCTGACTGACTCACACTAACTCTTAGCCCTGCCCTCAGCAGTGTTAGCAGGTGCTTGCTCTGGCCCAGTGTGTGCTGGGGAAAGGGTGAGGCAGGAGTTAAGCTTTGACATTCTAATGCAGAATGGATTAATGGGTGTGTGTGGTTCCTTGCCTGGGGAAGGGGGAATGGAGCTCTCAGCCTGAGCCCAAGGAGGCACTGAGAGATGTGCCAGTTCTGTCTCCACAGCCCCACCCCATCTCTGCTTATGCCCCCTGCCCGTACTGTCTCCCCCAGCCACCCTCCCCATCCCTGCTCTGGCCATCTCCCCACACAGCATGGGCCAAGTCAGGGGAGCCAGCCCTGTCCCCCAACCTATGTTCCCCTTGCATGTTCCCCCACATATCCCTTTCATCCCAAGCAAGGGCGGAGAGGCCTAGGCAGCACTGTCACAGGAGCAGGCAGGCATGGAGGGAGGGAGGGTGCTGCAGTTGGAGGTGGTGCCAGGGCAGAATCTCCCAGCTCAGCAGCAGAGGCCTCTCCTCCCTCAGAGGAAGGGACTGGGCTCCCCAGCTCCGCTGTGCCAGCAGTCCTGTCTGCTAAGACTCCTCCCCATGCCCATGGGGACACCCCACCATCCATCCATGCCCCATCCCTGGTGATTTTCCCTCACTCAATATTATCATCCCTTCCTGCCCACATCACTGGTCTAAGCAGCCTCACTTAGCTTGTATGAGGAAGGGTAGGTGTAGGTTTTGCTCTGTCCTTTAATCACTGCTGTGGGAATGTTCTTCACTTGTAGTAATAGTTATAAAATTCCCATGTGGTTCACATTGGCCAGGGATACAGTAACTGGAAAAATTCATAGATCCCAAGGCCAGAAGGGACCACTGTGATCATCTAGTCTGACCTGCATAACACCTGGCCAGAGAACTGCCCAAATAATTCCTAGTGCAGGAAAAACATATCATCTTGATTTAAAAATTTTCATTGATGGAGAATGCACCACAATCCTTAGTAAATTGTTCCAGTAGTTAATTACGCTCACTGTTAAGTTTATGAAAATAAGGCATAATTTTTTTTTAATTTCGTTAATTTTTAATTGAGCATTTCCAACCTTTCTGACACTCCTTGTTGTTATTAGTCTTATTTAAGTATATACTTAACAAAGATTTAATTTGTGATAAGGTCATGGGAATTCTTATAATGTAAACCACCCTTTAAATGTATGTTTGTTTCAATAAAATTTCTTACCATATATCTATTTCTATTGATTTGTTTTTAGAGAAGCTCCAGAATGAACTTCGTAAGTGCCATTCCCACCTTCCCCCGATATAAACTTTATTATACACTATTTTCTCTTCTGAGGGGCTGGTGCACAGGACAGCTCTCACCTCCCTATATCTACTTTGTTTCAGAATTGAGAAGAGTTCAAATATATCAAGGTAAATTCAGCTGATATTTTATTCATGTCAAAATTGGGGAGATCTTTGCCCCCTTTCCTTTTGCAATCAACAGGCTCATAGCAAGAGTGACAGGATTCAAGTAGTATTTTCAGAGAGATGGGACAGATGTTCTCCTTTGGGTAAAGTGGTGATTAGTGAGAGGGGATTTCCAGCCTTTCCGGGCTTACACTGTTCTGACAGGATCATTTCTATTACACTGCTCAATATGCTCTGCTGAAGAGCAATTTTCCACACTCCCTGATTTAACTCTCCATCCCCTTCTAATGGAATATGAAGAAACAAGGAGCATGTTGGTCGTCCATGGTGCTGGGGAGTTGGACTCTCTAAGGGATGCTGAGGGTCCCAGGGAATATGGTCATCTATTTTACCTTATACACCTCTACCCCGATATAACGTGATCCGATATAACACGAATTCAGATATAATGTGGTAAAGCAGTGCTCCGGGGAGCGGGGCTGTGCACTCCAGTGGATCAAAGCAAGTTCGATATAATGCGGTTTCACCTATAACACGGTAAGATTTTTTTGGCTCCCAAGGACAGCTTTCTATCGGGGTAGAGGTGTATTTAAAGATTTGCAATGTACAGTGGACGGGGGATTGCTAATCAGATGTGGAGCCTTTCCCTGGTAGGCCACTAGTCTCAATGTCACCAGGTGAGGCTGATTGTATGGATCACAGTGCAATGAATAGCTGGTGACAGTTCATTTACAAACAATTAATGGCTGTGCTCATTATCCTGAAAGACTCATATTCATGGCAGAACGCACCACAGAGACTCACCTGCCCATTACCCTTGGAAATGAATTTTGCATGTGTCAGGTTTGAGGCAGATTGGCAGGATAGTATAGGAGAATCTTGTACTGCCGCTATCTGTACCGTACCTTGACAGTAAATACGGAAAGAGCTTTAGCAGCCAGTGTTTAAATGCTTCTCTCCTTCCCAGAACTACATTCATGTAGCACTCTGGCTCAGTATCTGTCAGCAGAGTGTCAAGTGTGCCCAGAAGAAAGGGTGAGTGAAGGAAAGGAGAGTGGGGTGGGGCTCTCAGATGCAGTTTAAGTTGTTACCATCACAGAAAGTACCACAACTTTAGGGTTAAATTTAAATCATAATTCTGGAAAAGGAAACCTGGCAGGCATAAATTAAAATGACATGTGGTGGAAAACCTAGAGAGAGAGGGATGAAATGGAGACATAGAGAAAATATATACCTGAGGCTTCTGAAATGACACCTTACAAGATGCCTCAGCCTCCAGTCAAGACTCCATCCACACAGTCATGGAAATGGAAGGACTCAACAATCTGCCCATGAAAGGGGGTATCTTGGGAGAGGGAAAGCAAAAGGTTAATCTTGATGGAAAACATCTCGTGGTTATGAAATAAAAGTAAGTAAGAAAAAAATGACAGGTCAGAAAAAGGCAGTGAAGGATGGTATTTTTTAAAAACTGAAACTAAAAACCTGTGGTGTTGATTTTAATTTTTAAAGAAATAAAAATTTGATAAATTATAGCCAGATCACTGCTAACACCTCTAGCCAAGGTTGCCAGAGTGTTTCCATTCCAGCATCTGAATTCAGTTGCTTTTGAAATGTTCACCTCTAGGACTGAGCTTTTCCATTCCCGTTTCTGCCCTAAGGTGATACCTTTTTATAAAAAAAAAAACGGTTTTAGCAAAATGGTCCAGCCGGTCTTTAGTAAGAAAAGAATCAGCAAGAAATTCGTTTTCCTATCCCCATGAAACTTAAGTCTTGGTGCCCCAGTCACTCACTCACTCACACACACACATCCACTGCACATGTTCCTTAGCAATACTACTACATTAACAACTTTTGTAACTTCACATTAATTCACTAAATGTTAGTCCTGGGCATTAGATCCCGCCTAGAGGAGTCCAGTAGATGAGGTTTCATCTTCTTTCATTTTATGGTACAAAGTGGTAAATAAATGTCAGAAGACCTAGGATTCTGTTTGACAGCCCCAACACAATTAAACAGCCCCTTGTCGCGTTCATTACAAATTTTCTAGAATTAATCTATTGTGCTGTGGGACCTTGCCTATCAGTGATGAGGCCAAGATGACTCTTTGGGAGGATTTTACAGCAGGAGTGAGGTCTGCGTGGACTCAGGCTTATAATAAAAATTCAGTTTCAGCCTTACCTATGGAGTGACTAGGGACACTCCCTAATATAGGAAAAAAACAATGTCCTAATGTTTTAAGTGGCTTCTGTGTCATTTGTTTCTCATATGATGCACCCACGTCACTCATTCATGACAGACTATCGTCCCTATTCCCATGCCAGGTACCTGGGAACCCTGGACACAACCCACCCAACTTCTCCTCAGGCTGGAGCCCATAAGGGCCTGGCTCTCCCAGGAATGCAGTGAGAGGCAGTGGCAGCCAGAGCAGCAGTGGGTTGGGGGAGTTTCACCTTCAGCAGCTTGGAGCCCTTTAACACGGAGCCACCAGCCAGACTCGAAGCTGAATGAAAGGGGAAAGTAGCAGAGCAGTGTGTGGGTGTAGTGGGGAAGGTTTTAGCTGCTTTTCAGGGGTTAAAATTTCCCTTGGAGGGAGATGCAGGGAAGAGTGAGACAATGAGGATGATAGAAACCATAAATGGTGATAAGTAGATAGAACAGGATATGTCCATGGTGGCAGGGAGAATGAGGTGTAACGATGCGGTTCTGGCGGGACCCAACTGAGAGTGCCAATTCAGGACAAATTGCTTAAACAGGGCAGTTACAGCCCAAGGCTGGGGTTTTTCCACCTCTAAGGCAAACCAAACCAGCCAGACAAAGAGGACTTTGGTCTCACCCCACTGGCTAACCACAAGTCACACAAGCAATTCCCTTAGACACTCCAGTTTCCCAGTATCACCACCAGTGCCTCTCGTTATGGGGACAAATGGTTATGAAAACCAATACCTCAGTAAAAGAAAAATGGTTCTCCTGATCCCATAGGACCAAGCCCCAGACCCAGGTCAATATACAAATTAGATCTTACCCACAAATCACGCTATTGCCAATCCTTTAGAATCTAAAATCTAAAGGTTATTCATAAAAGGAAAAATATATAGATGAGAGTTAGAATTAGTTAAATGGAATCAATTACATACAGTAATGGCAAAGTTCTTGGTTCAGGCTTGTAGCAGTGATAGAAAAACTGCAGGTTCAAATCAAGTCTCTGGAATACATCCCTAGCTGGGATGGGTCATCCTTTGTGTAGAGCTTCTGTTTGTAGCAAAGTCCTTCCAGAGGTAAAAAGCAGGATTGAAGACAAAATGGAGATGAGGCATCAGCTTTTTATAGTCTTTTCCAGGTGTAAGAACACCTCTTTGTTCTTACTGTGGAAAATTACAGCAAAATGGAGTCTGGAGTTACATGGGCAAGTTCCTGCATACTTTGCTGAGTTACAAGGCATATCTGCCTTCTCTCCATGGGTCTATTGTATAGTTGATGGTCCTTGATGGGCCATCAATCAGGCTAGGCAGAGCTAACACCAACGTGTCTGGGATGTCTCCCAGAAGCATAGCATAAGTTTGTAATAGAGAGTTTAGAGCCAATATTCATAACTTCAACTACAAAATTGATACACACATATAGACAGCATAATCATAACTAGTAAACCATAACCTTGTCTTAGACACCTCATTTGACCCCCTTTATACAAGATATGGTGCCACTACAGGACTTTGGTTGCAACCATGTTCTATATGGTCCCAGATTATGTCAATAACATCATGTGGGGAGCTGCAGTGAATCTCTGCTCGACCCCAGCATTGCTCCCTGGGGCCCAGGACCGATAGCCAGTAAACCAGGGATGGGGCCGGTGGCTTGGAGTAAGTACCAAGAGCCATTATTCAAATGGGTGAGGGGCTCTAAGAACAACTGCTGCTGTCGGTTGGGTGGTTCTGAGCTCATTATTGGTTTAAGAAGAGCACTTGGTGACCAGGCCAGGTGTAGGGTATAGGCCATTAGTTCCCCCTGACTTTGGACACCTTCCACATGTGTGGAATGCCAGAGAAGGAGTTTGTGAGGGAGACTAGCTGTGAGTGAAGGTCATGGCTGTATGAGTAAAGTGAAAGGTATTACAGGTGCATGTATCCTAGTTGTTCTAGACTGAATTCACTGTTAACCCTGGTGCTACCCTGAATGGAGAGTAGTTTCAGAGTCAGCAGCTGCGCAGGCCATTCCCCATTGCTCACTGAGCATTGCCACTGGTATGTTTGCTCCTGTGTTGTACTGAAGCCTGGTGCAAGGTAGGGGCAGGAGGCAGGATTCATTTATTCAGGGGGAGGGATAGCTCAGTGTTTTGATCATTTGCCTGCTAAATCCTGGGTTGTGAATTCAATCCTTGAGGGGGCCACTTAGGGATCTGGGGCAAAAATCTGTCTGGGGATTGGTCCTGCTTTGAGCAGGGGGTTGGACTAGATGACCTCTTGAGGTCCCTTCCAACCCTGATATTCTATGGTTACCTTTATTTTTATGCAAGTAGTTCTTTTTTTTGTTTGACAACAAATCAGCATGCGCTGTTGGCCAAAACTGCCCAACTCCTTCCAATGCTGCCTACTCCTTCTCCCTGCTCAGCTGCACCCAGAGCACATGGGATGTCCCTGCCTCACCCTGTCCCCCCCACTCCCCCCACTTACTCGGTGCTCCTACAACTGATGGGATGTCCCTGCCTCCTGCCTCACCCTGTCCCCCCAATTTGCTCAGTGCCCCTAGAGCTCATGGGGTGTCCCTGCCTCATCCTGTCCCCCCCACACACACACACCTGCTCAGCTGCATTTAAAAATCCCAAGGAACAGTTAAGAATTATGGGTCAAATCCTTAGCTGTGTCTATTGACGTAACTCCACTGCAGTCAATGGCATTAATGCCGATTTACACCAGCTGAGCATCGGTCACTGCCATGATGACTACTACTGGGATTGGGCCTGAAACAGCCCATAGGCCCAGATAATCTAGGACTGTTTGATGCAACTGTCCTATACATTTAGAAACCTGTGTGTGCCAGAAGTGTAATATCAAAACAATACATTCCCTTTACATATTTCCTTTGAGACGTCGTAAGGTATGATCCAAAGTCCATTGAAATCAATGGGACTCTTTTTGTTGACTTCAGTGGACTTTGGTTCATGCCCATAGTGAATAAAGAGGGCCTAGGTGACTTGGTTTATTTGGACCTTCAAAAATCCCTTACAAGAAGGTATTAAGGAAACTGAGTAGCCATGTGGAGAGATGTAAAGTTCTGGCACTGGATCAAACTGGCTAACAGATAGAAAGTAAAATGTGAGACAAAATGGTCAATTTTGATACCAGCTAGAAGTTGTGTGTGTATTACAATGTTCCATACTAATACTGGAGTTATTTACTTTTATCAACTCGAGAAAGAGTCTTGGGCATCATTGTGTGCAGCTCAGTGGAAACCTCTGCTTAAAGTGCAGCAATGGTCAAAAAGCAAACAATGTGCACATGCATATATATGCAATGGAGAATAATATGAAAAATATTACACCACTATATAAATCAACTAAATGCTCTTGTAATACCAATAGGCAGGGGGGATTGAACCTGGGACCTCTGGAGCTTAGTGCATGAGCTGCTACCGCATGAGCTAAAAGCCATTTGCTTGTTAGCTAAGGCTGTAGAGCAGACTCATAATTGCGCGCGCGCTCTCTCTCTCTCTCTCTCTCTCTCTCTC